TTAAGGTCTTTTCCAATCTGAGTGATTCTATGATTCTAAGATGATCCTTGAGGTCCCTTCCAACACAGGCCATTCTATGATTCTATGATTGGGTACTGGAGAAAGGTTGTGCTTAGTGGAGAGGACTGAGAGCAGCTGTGGATTCTTAAGGAGCAGGTACTGAGTTGTGTTCCTAGAGCTTCCTAATCAGTTCCTGGTAAAATAAGCTCAAAAGTAGGTCAAAGCACTCACTCACGCTGCTCAAGTTAATCTTCCTGATTCCTAGCTGTAGCTAATTAGGCTGTGCTAAAATGCATTCGTTTTCCTTGTTACCAAACTGTGGGATTGTAAATTTACAGTACATAGTGATAGAATAATGCCTTGAATTGCTACAGTGAAGAAAAATAAATAAATTACTGAGACTCTGCCTAAAGACAGCAGTAGAAGACTCGTTTCACTTTTGCTTGAAGTCACAGATAAATCACCTCTGAGTTACCAAAGTTGTATAAACTAGGAACTTCCTGTCTTTGTTTTTGAGAAAGAAATTTAACTTCATGTTACATAGATTTATATGACTTATATCTTATTTACTCATTTCTTTAGCAAAAAAAGATAATAACTTTGATGGTTATGGCTACCAAGCTTTAAATGGGTTCAAATTTAGTCTCCTAAACTGCAGATAAAAATAAAATTTTGGGTGCTCCACTGAATATCTTATTGAAAAACTGAAGTGTATTATCATTACTTAAAGCTTAATTGCCTATAATTTTATAAAATAAGTGTTTATATATATGTCACTTAGGTAGTCCACCAAGCCTTCAAACTGGTTTTATTTGCATGAGCTAGGAAGTTACAGTTCTGGATTACTTCTCTGGGTCAAACTGACCAGGTAAAGGCATGAGCAATTTGCATATGCAACAGACTGTTCATTTGAGGTTTGTATTTCTTTGGTTTGCTACTTTTTCAAATAGTACAGTTGTTGAGAGATATTAAAAACCCAAAATACATTTAAATTGAGATACTCTATGTGAATAGTAACAGAAGGTCACAATATGTTCAGAGAATTCAAATATATGGTTGTTCTCTTATGAACACTCCTTGAATAGATGGAGTTACAGATGGCTAACCAGATGGAATACCTTACTTCCAATATAGCTATATGTATTTAAAAATGGGTGCAATGCAATCATATTATTTAAATCTGTTCTGTATTTCTTTTGAAACCATAATGACAGTGACTATTCAGTAACACAGGAATGTGACAAGAATGTAATTTATTGCCACATAATTGTTGGGCTTGTCTGAGATCTTACAAGACTCACTCCTAAGAAAGGCACTTAAAACAATTCTCTCTTTTTTAGAAGATTTTTTGAATACCTATCAGGTAGAGCATGTGATTCAGAACTAACTGAGAAGAAACGATAAGAAGAACATTGGAGGAGGTAGCTGCCTCAGAAGCACTCTTTTCTTGCTAACAAAAATCAATCCTCAGTGCTGAACCAGAGACCCAGCACATCTTGGCAGAAGCATCCTCTTCCACTTACTCAATCTGTTGCCCTTTGATTAGGTTGTTCAGTTGGGTACTATAAAAATTGACATCAACACAGCAAAATATTCAAATACAGAATGAAAGATAGATCATGCTCAACAACTGAAAAAATGGTACACATTAGCACTGTATATGCCCATTATTGGGATACATACTCTCCCTCATCTTATTAACCTATCATACTTCACTCACATCTTCATGCTTTACTTGTTCGGGGTCATTTTTTCTAGTTGCCATTCATTTACCTGAGAAAAGTCATCAGCTAGCAAGAGTTCTTGTTTCAGACTCCTCATCTTCCTTCTTTATCTTCTCACTTCTTGTCAGTCTCCAATATAAATGCCAGTATCATGTTAATGTTCTTACCATTCTTTTGGCAGAGTAAGTCAGATAAATGAGTTATAAAAGTAATCAGATTAAGAAAGTTTTGGGGAAAGGAAGCATTTACATGCTTGCATCAGGGCTGGAAACTAAGTAAGTGAAATCATTCTAGAAATTACTGATGACATAAAACAGGACTTTTACTGAATGCAATAAAACACCCAAGTTAACATAATGGTCGAGAAAGGGTGGGACCTCTGTGTCCATCTGGTCCAAACCCTTGGACACAAGTGGTCCAAGTAGGGACACCAGAGCAGAGTATCCAGGTCTTTGTCCAGATGGCTTCTGACGAACTTGGAGGAGACTCCACAGCCTCTGGGCAGCCTGTGCCAGTGGCTCCATCACCCACACAGCACAGAACTGCTTCCTGGTGTTCAGAGTGAACCACCATAGGGAATCATAGACTCATAGAACGGCGTGGATTGAAAAGGTCCTTAAAGATCATTTAGTTTCAATCCCCCTGCAGTGGGCAGGGTTGCCAACCACTAAACCAGGGAAACTCCAGTTTGTGCCTGCTGCCTCTTGTCCTGGCACTGGTCACCACTGAACAGAGCCTGGCTCCATTTTCTTTTCACTCTCCATTTATGCGTACTGATGAGATCCCCACTGAACCTCCCATCTTCTAGGCTCAGTGGTCCCAACTCTCTCATCTTTTCTTCATAGGAATGGTGCTTCATATTCTTGGCCCTCTCATCAGTATTCCAAGGGGTCTCTTGTTCCAGGCAGCCCAGAACTGGACACAACACTCCAGGTGTGGCTTCACCAGTGCTCAGCAGGTAGGAAGGAGCACCTTCTTTAACCCACTGACTATACTAAAGCAGATTAATAAGATAATATGTTTCACTTTCCAAATTTCTCTGAGTAAAATCAGAGGTTTTCTTTCCTTGCTCACATTAGAATCAAGAATCAGTAGGTTCTTCTAAGAGGTTGGGAGTGACCTATCTAATCACTTATATCTCTTACATGCTTTGGTGATGTCAATATTAACAACACCTGATTCAACAAACTAAAAAAATAAAAAAATAAAAAAAATCCAGCTTTCAAAAATCATCTTTCCTTATCTTGGAAGCTGAAAATTCACACCATTGTTGAGCAATGATGCCAGTCCTTTCATGCAGGTGTGTGTACCTACTTGTCTTTCAGCTCCAGGCTCTTAGCTTCTGAACTTACTGTGAGCCAGGAAAAGGAGGGAACGGTAGGGGGAAGGACCGGAGTGACTCAGAGTTCTTCAACCCCTACCTCTGTGCAGCTGCAAGCTTCTGAAGAAACTCTGGACCTCCTTCTCATTCTGGGCCAACTTTCAAACTTTTATAGGCTGATACACAGCTCCGTGTTTCCAGACATGTTGAGATTTGTTTGTTTTGAAATGCTTGTAGCATACAAGTGGAACGTAAAACGTAAGTAAGACCTACTTAGGTATGAGGTCCTTTGGGATAAGGAATGTCTTGGTTTTGCATTGACTGCTAAGGTGGGGTCGTGGTTTACTATTAGGTAACTATGTGTTATGATACAAAAAGCAAAAGTGAAAAAAGAGTGGATAAATATTAAACAATATGTTTTGTTCTTCTAATCATATAGATGATTTGAAGAAAGAGTTAGGACAACTCACGAAAGTTTGAATCCTTTAAAGATTCACTGGCATGTACCTAGACTATATGATTCCCAATGGAAAAAAAAAAAAAACCTGGGTGTGCAGATACAGCGTTCATTTTCTTCAAACAAACCAAGAATTCTTATGAAAAAACATTACAGGATACAAAGCAATGTTAACACACCAGAGGGAGCTGTATTCACACAGAACGGCCCATGAGACAAGAATGCAGAATGCTGGTTTCTTTTTGCTAATAGGATGTACGTAAGTACAGAGAATTTGGGTAAAAGGTCATTTTATTTTCTTCCTTTTTTTTTTTTTTTTTTTTTCCTTTTTCAATAATGATAAAGTTATCTCAAAGTTTGAGGTCAGGCATGATGATTGAACAATCTGTTTTATTGTGTTCATTCAACATAATAAAATTAGCTGAACTTACTCCATTTTTTATGTCCTGGAAACAAGCCCATCAACTATGCTGGTGGTACTGTGGGAAAAATGTTAAAGAAATAGTAAAATACTGTAAGTCAGCGAGGACTGGGAGGGGAAAAAAAGTGAAAAACAGCCCCACAAACTCAGACTTCAGACAAAGCAGAGCAAGAGCCAAAGCAGGTGTTTTCCTGCAACCCATGGTGGACACCACAGTAGAAAAGAGATTCTCTCTCCTGCAGTACCCTTTGAGTACCACAGTGAAGAAGGCTTTTCCATTCAGCCTGTGGAGGGGACTGCACACAAGCAAATATCCACACTGTGGCCCATGGAAAGTCCCATTCCACAGAAGGTGGATATTTCCTGAAGGAACTATGCCTTATGGAAAGGAACCTACAAAGAAGTATGTTCTTCTGATAGAAACTGTGCACTAAGGAGGACTTACAATGCAGCCCACAGGAAGAATCCATGCTGGAGCAGGGGAGAAGTGTGAGGAGGAAGCAGAGAGCAGCTGTTATGAACTCATAACATCCTTCCCCATCCCTTCTGCACTACTTAGGAGTAAATGAAATGGTTTAGTTTCAAGGATGAACTTGTTTGGTTGCAGAGATGTCATCCCAAGAGCTATCCTGTTAAGTCTCTGGCATTAACAGTCTTCTCAATTTCAAACGGAAAGAAATGGCTCTCTAGACTTTTCAGTGATGTCAGAGGAAAAGCTATATTAGAATAAAAGAAGGCATCCCATAACTGCTTTGATATAAATATTACAAGAATTTAGGAGGAGTCTAAAGGATCTTCTTCACTTAGTCTTACACCTGAAGAGACTGCGTAGTAAACTGAAGCCATTGCTGGTCTCAAAGAAGTGAAATTTAGAGCTGTTGTATCATTAACAAAACACATTCGCACTAAAAAAGAAAAAAAAAAGATAAATTCAAGATTCCATCAAGAGTAAAGCACAAATAAAGAACAGCTACCTAAATACATGTATGTGCTATACTTTCTTGTGTCAATAACTCTAAGATATACCAGCCTCAAGGTTCATGAATGTTTTATTCATTCTTTTATAGGTCTTCCTGAGAGATAACCAATCGGATACTGGACAAACGAACAAAAAGAGTAATCAGACTCCACTGACCTGTTTAACCTTGAATGTGAAGGATGAAAAGCAGCAGCTGTTTTCAGTGGAACGGGGCTTCTGCTGGCACTTACTTCTTTCCCTTTGGATTATATTTGCCTAGAGACACGAAGATAGCAAACTGATGATGTTGTGACTTTATACACACCAGACTGTTCCATCACTATTTGAAGCAGGTATGTTATTTGAATCACCTTGCCTTATTTTTCATTGCAAATCCAGACGAGTTAGGGTTGTGGTTAAAAAAAGAAAAGGGTTGTTATTAGAACCCTCGTGTAAAATACTTAATCCTGGATAGTATAAGATTTGCACAGAAAAAGTTTATGTTAGCTAATGTTACCATTCTCCCAGGGGATGTGGGATTGTTATTGGAATTTTATTTATTGTCAGTCAAGGAAGTAAACAGTATCTTCTTGTCACTTTTCTATTGGAACAAAAATACATAGCCTGAAAATAGGATTCCAACATAATTTTAGCTATCAGGAATCCAGTACTAAAATTGTAACCATTTTATCTTCCTTAATTTACAGAGCATAACTTTTTCTAGAAAACTGTCATCTCCTTGTTCTTTTAGTATTTTATAGCACTGCTTTAAATAAGTAAGCAATAACTTTGAGTAGCTAGACCTTCAAGGCTATTAATCAGTAGAAGCCTGATTAAGCTAGTGAGTTTAAATTTCCATAGCTGACTGGCCATTAAAATTATTTTATGAGAAAGTGCAAATTACAGTGTTCTTCAGAATAAAATCCATCATGACTTCAATTTTGTTTTATGTTCTGGGATTGCCATATAGATAATCTTAATTATGTAATGGAATTTTTAAATAATCTTGTATAGCTGTGACTTTACATGGTTGCCAAGCATTGCCTTTTGCATTATCAGGTTCAGTGTGCTTTGCAAGATTTCTGTGTGATTCAGGGTAGATCCCCAGATTATGTCAAATATATTATGGACATATTACCAACAAGTAGCATTGTAACTACTGCAGTTGATCAAGTAGTGTTTATAAGCTTGAACATAATTTCATTATTAATTTAAAAATTTAAGAATTAAAATTTTGTCTATTCAGTTATGTATGACACTTAAACATAGGAAGGATTTTTTCTCAGCTGCTCACAAGACCCTGAGTTGTATTAGATTAGTAGTAAAAGAAAACTTCCTTCAAAGTGAATACTACTTAGTGTAAGTTGCTTAGTAAATCATATGCTGTGTACCAGTATTACTGGCTATATTATACATCTCTGTGTATTTACATGGTATTTGCTTTTCTTTTTAGTACTGAACAAAGCTGAGGAGCTTAAAAGTGTTACATGACTGATTCTGAACCAAAATGTGGACTAGTAAATAATATATGAATAACAGCAAGATAGTATTTCTAGCTCAGCAGTGAGAGGGGTGAAAGATCAGAGTGGGTAGTCTTACTGAACAGAGCAGGTTCTTAGAAGTTCTTCTTATATCTGGAGTTATAGCTCACCTTTAGATTTTTTCTGTCATCACTTGTCAACGTTTAGAGAAAGGTGCAACATCCAAAGAAATGAAGAGGTTGCAGTGAGAGTTTTGCTGTAGCAAGTCTGCCAACAGAGAGTTGCAGCTTTCTCTTTATGAACCATAGTTTTCTACATCTGGTGTTTCAAATTATGTTATACATAATTTACATACATATGCAAGTTTATTCATGTCATTACCTAGCATTAGCTAGGTTTGCTTTAAGAAATTTGGTTCCTCAAATCCAAAAGGATAAATTATGAACGGCAAGCAAGTAGTAGAGCCTATTTGGTGCAGAATCATTTGTTTGTCTGCTTTACCTCTGAGACACCTGAAGAAAGAAATGATAGATCTGAAGAGGACTAAATCTGTTGGCTTGTGCTAAACTTTCACTTGCACTGTACGTTAAGGTTACCATGGTAGATATATAAGCAGCTCATGAATTCTGACCAAATTCTTGTATTGTAAACCATGCTTCAAATTGGATTGGATTCTAGTTGACTTCAGTATTTCCCATACGCAAGATTGCAATAAATAAAACAATATACTCGGTAAAACTGAGATCACTCTCCTATGTGTCTAAATCCAGATTCATTTCACCTATCCTCAGGCACATAAGTTGGCACTGCAGTTATTCTGAGCATCCTGTAGAGGTATTCCCTGGGGAGGTATTCCCCATATGGGGAATACTTTGAAATCTCTTAAGGAATGGAGAGCAATTTAAAGGGAGTTTCATTTTAGTTTTACTATCTTGTAAATTGTGTAAGTGATTTTAACTTTTTCTAAAAAATATTATCCATATATACTTGCAATCCCTGCTATTTAAAATTCTGTTCCTCGTTAGCAGCTTTGGTAATGCACTGCTAATATGGCTGAACAAAGGCAACGTGCTTTGTCAACATCAGGGGAAGCATTATATGGAATCCTGGCCCTAGAGAAGGGAGCAACACATGATGAGATTAAGAAGTCCTACAGGTATGCAAGATGTGTTTTGAAATGTGTCTAAAACACAAGCAACTTTTTTTGTTATGGCAATTGAGGCAGTGTTCTGCACACACTGGGAGTATCCTCCCATAGAAGTTACAGAGCTAAAACACTGAATGTTTTTGCTAACATTTTTATATTTAGCATCTTGTAGTGGAAAACAAAATTATTCTTAGGACAATGCTTTATTTCTTTTCTTACTGCTTATTTTACTTTGGATGTATACGTGTGTGTGTTCATGCTTCTTCCTGAAATTTTTCCTTTTTGAACTTAGCTTCTGCTTTTGTGGGATTTAATGCTTGCCATCCTTCAAAATGCTAAAATTATCAGCAGTTGAAAAGCTAATGTTGATTTTAATATGTCATCATTAAGTTGAGACTGAAGTTGCCAACCAATTAAAGCAATGGCAAACAGAAGTGCTTGCTTCTGAGTCATTGTCTAAAACTGCAAAATAAGAAATTATCCACACTAGCAAAGTTCCTTCTTAAATTAATCCAACATACTCTTCAACACTGTATTGCTATAGAAGTTATTACCATGGAGTAGTTCATTTTTACGAAGGAAGAAAAAAAAATACTGATGGTAGGAACCAGTATAACAATTTACATTTATTTGCCACAACGCTTGGCAAAGAAAGTTTATGCATCTGACACACGTACAATGGTAAACCCTTTTGAGTAACTTGCACTTCAGAATTTGTTGTTACAAGTTCCTTCTCCTCTGTGAAATTGAAAAGATTCAGAAGTGATTCTCTTTGAAGCCACTGATTTCATCCCAAAAGCAACCTGTGCACTTTATCTTAATTGCTTGAATCCAGACAAAAGAGTGGTCAGACTGTTACTGTTGAAGAAAGCAAACCATATTTGTAAAGCACAACCCTAGAATAGCACATCCAGTTCTTGTGTTAACACCTTTTCCCGAAGTATGTTGAAAACTGAAGCCTATGTGCAAAAGTGTGTGATGATTCAAGGACAACACTAAGAGACAGAACAAGTACAATCAGTTTATCTCATCAGTAAGCAACTAATAAAAAAAAAGCTGGTAACATATTTGATTACAGTAGAGACTTTGAAAAGGAATAATGTTAGGTGCAAGGGGCTTCTTCAGTTTAGAAGAGAGACATAACCAAAACCAGCTGGATGGACTCTAAAACCAATTAAGCAATAAACCAAAATGAGGTATTTGATTAAGTGAGCGTAACCAGCAGCCGAAAGAAACTGGCAAAAGAATTTCTCTTTTGAAAAAGAAGGGAGGACTTTAAATAAGTTTCACTCAAGCAGAAGTTATTGATATGATGAAATGTATTTTATTGCTGAAATTTAACAAGGCTTAGAAGTAAGTCCAGAAGATTTTATGAGTCTTTTTGCTCTTAAATCTGCTCCGCTGCTACTAAAAGAGAAAGAACATTAAATGTCATCAGTGAAATAGATGTTCTTGACATCAAAATATGCCAGACCTGTATTTAGAGGCTTAATAAATATAGTAAAATGTCTATTATACCATTGTAAAGGACATTATTTCGTTGCAGTGTATTAGTGACCCAGCTTCAACACACTGTCAAATATAAGAATATATTTGAACTGAAAAAGAGGTTATGATATAGATCTTTTTGCTTTATTGTTTAGCTTGAATTTTCCTCTTTTTGAACAAATTGTATCTCTCTGTTTCCTAAAAAGCACGTGTTCAACACAAGCAGGAACAGTAATGAACAGCCAAACTACGTGTACAGCGGAAACAAAACTATATCATGGTTTTGTTGTCTTGCTTAACTATACCACTAGGGGATAAACTTACTACAGTATCAAATTCACTCATGACTTGCACCTCCTGTGTCCCAGTAGTACAGCCTAGCTGCAGAAACCATCTTCTGTATCAAACTTTGTGCTTTCGCGTTGCTTTTCTCATTTAATATTCTGTAAGGAGGCCTTCTTTAGTCCCCAAAGAAGAGAGTTGTCATGGAAGAATGTAGAATGAAATTAACTTTGTTTCATGCTGAACATGAATACGAATGATTTACACAACGATGTGTGGTAAAACTGACAGTAGTGCTTTATCCATCTTTATTAGTAATTATAGCAAAAAAAGGACTGCTTCTCACTAAAGTGGAAATGTCAAAGGGATTCACTTTTAATGAAGTAGCTGTAAATATTTGCAAGATAAAATGATGAGTCAGTCTCACAGATTTGCTTTAATTATAGATTAATTTATGCTAATCCAAAAATCTGCTGCTGAACTGGTATTCTTTAGTATAAGGTATGAAACCAGCAATACCTGATTTTGAGTTTCTTGCCATTATTAATTAAGTCAGTATTAATCATACTACCACAGCCCAGGGCAAAATTTACTTTTTAATAAACATGACAGAATTACCTCTCTGTGCTTTTATTTGGAGTTTGGCACAATCTAATTTCTCAAGCAAATAATGCTAACGGGCTTTTAATCAGCAGAATTTTAAAGGAGATCTGTTTAACTTCAGTTCTCTACCAAAAAAAAATTAAAAAAAAACTCTAGAAAAAAAAAAGGGCATAGTAACTTAAACTGTCCATTGACTTCTGCTTTCCAGTCTGACAGCGAAGCAGTATGCAGAAAGACGGTATTTCCTGTTTTCTTCAGAAGCTTGAAAAGACCCAGTTTTGAAAAGTGAAAGCATAAACTGATCACAAGTGCCACTCAAACAATAGGCACAGTACATATTGTTGAAGTAAAACTTTAGATATCACAGGTTTTTCTATTTTTAATAATCTTCAGGCAGTTTCCCAAAGTGACAAAAATTCTGCATTTGCAGGGAAGAAATGCAGAAATCCTAGACCTTTCTTACATAGCCAGAGTATTGAGAAAAATACATTCTCTAATACTAAAGCACTCAAGATTTTTGTAATGTATGAAAAATTATAAAGTAATTTTTTTCCCACAAGATTAATATATCCATGTATAATACTACTAGAATAAATTAAAAAGGGAAGGATAAAATGAACACAATGCAAACTGAACTGCACTGAATATCACAAGAACCTTAAGACATAGAAAACTAAGTCTACAGAGTAGCTTAAAGATAGAAGTATTCAAAATGTTGACAAAGAAAAATAAAATATATTACTATTAGTAAACAAAGCAAAAACTATTCAGAAATTAAATTAATTTCAATATTTCCAAGATAAGGACTTCTTGGATGAAGTAGTAATAGGAAAGAAGAAGGAAAAAAAAAAAAAAAAAAGGTGTGATTCATGTGTTATGACCACATAGCAAAAGGTTTTATTATTTTTGCTGCTACTAAGCTCCAAAATAAAAACCACCTAAAAACCTCCTTCTACTGTTAAACCACAAAAAATAGAATAACTATATCCCTTCAGTAATAATCATGCCCCACTCTATTTAATCTTCCTGCCAATCAGAACTCAATAGACTTGGAAATATCCTTTCAACAACCACCGTAAAATTAGAAGGGACCAGCACAAGGTAAGTCCCCAGACAACCCTCTCTTCAGACTGGAAAAGGACACACCCCTGACGAGATAAGTAGTACAAATTCATCTTTCAAGCAGATATTATTACAAATTAATTATCTCTCACAAATAGATTCCTTCATCAGGAAACGTCAAGTCAAAGACTAGTATCACAGATTGCATACAATACAAAATCAAGAAAAAAGGGAGGTGCTCTTGTGAGCACCTCCCCTACTTCACTGAGGCGTGCCACTCTTCCCACAATTAACAGACTAACAGTAATATCATAACGGATAGAGAATGTTCCAATAAGTGGACTCAGGCAGGGATTCTCCTTTGCTCCACAAAAAGCCTTTATATCTCCACATTCAGAAAATCTCTGCAGCCACTGAGGTTGTCTCTCAGGGGAAGGGCTACTCCCCGCATAAACATCATTCTGGCATTCTCCTCATCTTACTGCCCATCCTCATTGTCACTGTACAGTAATGCCAGAAAGTAGGCATAGTTGTCTTCCCTCCAAATGCACCAGTGCTGCAGACTCAGTCGGGGCAAGAGCCAAAAGAGCACTCCTTCGAGCCGGAGTTGAACCAGCGACCTAAGGATGGCCGTGCAAGGGAGCCTACAGTCCTCCGCTCTACCAGCTGAGCTATCGAAGGAATCACAGGGACCTGCCCTGCACCACACCCTTCATGCTCCCATCTGCCTTATTCCCACGGCCATAACACAGCACAACAACGCCTCTGCTTCCACTGCACACCCAGACACGCTCACCTCCGACAGCACTGCACCTTTCTGAGTACTTCATGCACTCCCCTCACTAGCAGCACTTCCTGAAAACCAACACAGCTTTCCATTTCACTCTCCTCGTTGCCAGAAACACAGGACGCACATCCCTGAGATACTTCGCCCTGTTACACTCCACTCACTTTTGTCATCTGCTCAGGCACCTCATCATAATTCATCCACTCATCCGACTCCTCTACAGTCTCAGAACAACTGGAAACACCCTGCACAGTATCCCCATCCCCTCTATTTCAAGCTCCGTGCTACATGTTGTGCTGAGATCATTCTAAGGCAGCCTGCACTTGTAAGAAGACTTGGCTATTACTTAGAGGTTTTCCAGGGCTTTTGCTGCTAAAGCTCAAGTCAGCCTGCAGACAGCCCTTCTAGACACAATTGCACTGGTCTATTCCCCTGAAAGAAGGAAGCCAGTTTCTCCACAAATTTTTAGCAGCTCACTGCTTTAGGGAGGTTCATTGTTCCTTATTCTTCTCAGAAATTCAAGGGGAAAATGCAGAATCCTATTGGTCAGGAACAATTCCAGTCTGCGCTCGCAATAAGAGGCTGCTTTACTCCAGAGAAAAATCTCATGTTGCCATGCTGTGGATAAGCCCATACTGATGGATCCTTTCTTGCATGTGAGCGCGATTGCCTGATAAAAATCGTGCCAGCATGCTGGCGTTCTCCATTTTCAGAGCTACCAAGTTGGTTTTCGACACAAAGGCTCCAAATGGGCATGGTGTTCCTGCTACCATTGCAGAAGCGATGA